TCCTCGTAGTTAAAAGACTGCAGACTGACTATGTCTCCAGTCTCTGAATTGATATTCACCATTGAAGCTATGTGTGTCGCCTTCGGAGAACTGTTTATTAAGCGGTACGTTGCTTTTTCATTTTCATTCAAATCTGAATCTAGTGTCGTCAGTATATGTATAGTAGTTCCTATTGGGCCATTCTCTTTCACATAAACATTGATGAGAGGCTCCAGGAATCGAGGAGGATTGTCATTAACGTCAGAAACTTGAACAGTAATGACGCTTGTGCTCGACAACGAGGGAGTTCCTTCATCTGACGCTGTTATTGATACATTAAACTGGGAAACACTCTCTCTGTCAAGAGGCCCGTCAACAAGCAAAGAATAATAGTTTTTATAATTAGATTTTAATTTAAATGGCACAAAGCCTGTAATTTTACAGTTTGTCAGACCGTTTTTACCGCCATCGTTATCAGTGATAGTCACCATTGCAACAGCTGTGCCTATTTCAGCGTCCTCTTTCACTGGACTCATGAGTGATGAAACCGAGATTTCTGGAGCATTATCATTGACATCAATAACTTCGACTAAAATCTTGCTGTGTGCACTGCGGGGAGGAGCGCCTTTATCTCGTGCTTGAACACGAATCTCATATGCTTGATTTTCCTCATAATCAATATTACCTCTAACGGTGATTTCTCCAGTACTATCATTCAGGGCAAATATGTCATCAGGATTTAAACGCCCCGTTTCTGTGAACGAGTACACAATCTGACTATTCACCCCGTCATCTAAATCAGTAGCTGACAGTGCTAATAACTTTGTTCCAGTATTTGCATTTTCAGCAACTTGGACCTTATAAAGAGATTGACTGAACATGGGTGAATTGTCATTAACATCCAGTACATTAACTTGTATCTGTAAAGTCCCCGTTTTGGGAGGTTTTCCTCCGTCTATTGCAGTCAGTGTGAGTTCAATAATAGCCTGTTTTTCTCGATCTAACGCTTTCTGCAGCACCAACTCAGCAGACACACTCTGGTCACCAATGTTCTGTACATCCAAAGAGAAATGATCATTCGAGTTTAATTTGTAAGTCTTCACCGAGTTAGCACCTAAGTCTGCGTCATAAGCTGTCGGCAGTGGATGCCTTTCTCCGACATAGGAATTTTCAGACATATATATTGTAGTTATTTCTTGCAGAAAAGACGGTGCATTGTCATTGACATCATTAATAGCAACTTCAATTCGATGGAGTCTGCGAGGGTTACTCAATACGGCTTCTATGTTTAAAGAGCATGTTACCGTATTAGGACAAAGCTCCTCCCGATCTATCCTCTCATTAACAAAAAGTGCTCCAGAATCATGATTTATGTCAAAATACTTTTTTTTGTATCCAGAGGTGATCTGAAGTCCCGTGGAATGGAGTTGCTGCACATTTAGATTTAAATCCTTAGCGAGGTTTCCCACCGCGGTCCCTTTGTCCACCTCCTCTGAAATCGAATATGATATCTGAGCCACGGACCAGTCGCAGAGACAAAGCAGAGTGAACAACAGACCTCCGATATTATCCCATTGCTCCTGAGCTGCCATCGCTGTTCAGGCAAAAGCAACGAATCCTGTTTTTTTCCTTTTGCACTCTCCACGAAAATAAAAAATAGCCTTTCTTATGTATCCATCCCTGTCCTCTCTCTCGTCAGGGCTTCACTCATCTATACGCAATTTCCACAAAGCACTGCCAGATGGTGACGTGTTCTTTTCTGTCATACATGGAGGAGGAGTTTCTGAACAGCGAACACGATATTGTTGCGTGGTCTCTAGCGACATCTCATGACACGTTTGTATGCAGAAATACGGCCCAAAACACACACATTATGTTTTATATCATACTATACAGTAAACGGCATCAAAGAGAAAATATATGCTGAATAAACTACTAAAATATATGGGTTGATTTTGGAAGACTTGAGCTCAACGGGTATACAATTCATAGAAGACAAATCTGAGAAATATGTAGTTTAATAAATTGGTCTTGTTGTTCATGTTCTTTTTCATGGCTATAGTATGTATTCACTGAGAGATGGAAAATAACCTGCAAAATCAGCACCACAGACAGCACAAAAATAGCAATACAGAGATCAGAATAAAGATTTATTCAGCACCATGGACAGCGACCCAAATCAGTTTTAATGTACAGTATCTCTTGACTGCAGATTACTGTATCCAAAACAACGTAGAACACAGTGAACGGATATCAACTGAGTTGTACTGAAATTGTTCTTCAATCTAGAAACCATCGTCGACACAGTGAACATTCAATAAATTACTGACAACTTGCTAGCAACGTAACAAAGCGCCATCAAATCAGTTAGATTCAAGTTTCCCATCGCAAAGAGAAGAGAAATACGTGTCAGAGTTACGCCCCATCTCAGAGCTCAATGATAGAATAAGTATAGCTGCAGATGATTGTTATTTGTAGGTAAATAAATGAATGCAATTGCTTCAATGACTTTAGAACAGAAAAAAGACAACAATGGTCATCCTGCAGAAATTACTATTTTTTTCAGAATATCAATATCTCTGTATGTAACAAAAGATACGCACATGATGTTCCCAAACGGCAGAAAAGATTAACTTCTTTTTTATCAATATCAAAACTAGTCATTTCTTACCTTGTCATTGTTGGGTAAAGTCTGAGTTCTGGTAAAAGT